TTATATAAGCTTATATTATATAATTAAATTATTTATATTATTTAATTATTTAATTATACTTATAATAAATTATAGTAGAATTAAACGGGTCTTAGCGTTAGTAGAAACCTATAAAGCACTAGTTAACACATAAAAACGGTAAGATTATAGGCTAAGGCTAGACTAAACTTAACTTACCTTTAGGTAAAGATAATTACGAACCTAGTAATTAAAGTAAGTAATAATACTAAATCCTATAAGAGTTAATAAAGCTAAGCTAAAGCTAAGGCGTGAGAATAATCTTATTAGAGATAATATAATAAAGATAAGCTTAGCTCTTCTTTATATTAGTAATAACTTAAGCTATATAAGGTAAACATAGAATTTAATATTAAGCGTTAACCTATATAAATATTAATATAACGCTAAGTTAAAGTAAAATAGAGGTACTTATAATAACCTTTTACTTAATAGTCTTTTTCTTTTAGGTAAGCGTAAGTATCTTACTCTTAAAAGAGCTATTCTTTTATAATTAAGTTAATATTACCGCTAAATTAAAGTTAATTAATTAATTAAAACGTATCTTAAGAGTAATATTAAGTATAATTATTTTAAAAATAATAAGCTTTTATAAAATATTAATAAAAAGATATTAAAACTAGATTAAAGTTAAGTAAATATATAAAGTAAAATAAACTAATACGCGGTTAAAAATAATAAATAAGATAAGAGAGAGAGACGCTTAGTACTAAGCTAATATTAAGTAAAAACTTACCTTAAATTAAGAAAAAGCTTATAAGAGCTATAAGAGACGAGAAGAAGCCTAAAAAATAACGTGTATTAATTAAATTCGCCTAAGAAACGCTTAAAAAATAAGCTAATATAGGTATAGCTTTAATAAGCTCGTATAAAGAGCTAAGAGCTATTATAAGGCTAGCCTAATATTAAAGGCTATAAAAAGAGATTATACGTACGAAAATTAAGGGTTTAAAGAAGAAAGAAAGAAAGGAAAATTAATAGCTTAATTTAAAGCTCTTATAAAGGCTATAATAGGCCTTAAATAGCTGGTAATAGCTAGCTAAGCCTAGTTAAGTAGCTTTAAAAGTAAGAATAAAGTAAAGTTTATTATAATATATTAATTATACTAAGAATATCTAGAATATAGTATTATATTAAGCCTAAAGTAGTATAATATAATATAATACTTCAAGAA